AAAAAAAAAAAAAAGGAAGCTACAAGTGATTTAATTGAGTGCATAAGTCACAATCTACTGTAAAGCAGAAATCTAAAATCAGCAAATAATCAAAGTTGCTGCAATTGTTGAAACACAAAAATATATTTCAGGACTAAAAAACTTTGTTTTTTTTGTTTAAAAAAAAAGAGGTGTTAGCAATGTACTCCCTATGAAAATGAACTGGGCAGCCGAACGAACATTATGGAGGAAGCAAGGTATACCAACAAAGAATTGAAACAAACAAGAAAATGTTTACCTCCAAAATACACAGCTGCCTGACCACTGCTATAATGCGTCAGGGCACCGAACAGATTGGTATTGTAAGCGAGAGCCAATGCCGCCACAACACTGGGCACCCCAGCCGCCAGGTGCATGGCGAGAAATGCGGAGTACAATGCCCCCACATGGCCCGTCTGACTAGCAAATAGGTAGTGAATGAAGAAATATGCCGCCTGAAGTACACCAAAAGCAGCTGGCCAGCTTAATGACAAAGACTGGAGCAAGTTGGCCACACAACTCGACATCCAGCTCACAATTCCGAGGCTCGTCAGCTGACTGGCCATGCCAACTAGGACTGCAAACCATGCTAGGGTGTCCCATGCTGATTTTTCACTCAAGCAGTCGTCCCAGTCTAAGACTCCCAATAGCAAGAGTATCGATAACCCGAGCATTGCAGCAACAACACTTGCAATACCAAGAGAATCTCTGCATATAAATCATCTTAAAATAATTAAAAAATATACAGCATTTCATATGCAACTAATACATAAAAAGGTTGAAACAGTAGTAAAGATACTGAAATGAGTAAAAAGTGTTTCCTTTTAGACTGGGGAGGGGGAAAGAGGTAAGAGGTGTATCCTGATGAACATAATGTTGAGTGTCAAAAACACACCAAACACATAACCCATGTAAAAGCCTCTAAAAGAATATATAATGCATGACATATGATATAACCGTATTCTCGAAGTGGGACCATAGAAATATACATGTCAACTCACCAGGATAACACTTTTATTTATAATATTCCACCAAAGGAAATTGCTTTTTCTCAGTCATGAATCAGTAGTTCTCAGAAAGAAGAAAAAAGATGACGCAACAGAACAACTCACAAACTTGTACGTACCCAAACACCCACAAAGAGACTGCAAGGAGCATGGTAGCAACCATTACCCACTCATTCTTAGTCACGGGGCCCATGAGGTCCAACTTCTTTGAAGCCATAGCAGGAGCATCAGGTGTATCTTTGGTTTCAGGAGGATAAAGCTTATACAAGATGAATGGTGTAGCTATAAGACAAACGAAAGCAGGTAGACTTGCAGCCTTGAACCAAGAAACCCATGGGTTTGTGATAACCACCCCGAGTTCCTCAGCTAACTTGAGGCATAGCAGATTTTGAGCTGCTGCAGTTAGGAAAAGAGCACTAGAGTTACCAGCAGACTGTCACAGAATCAAAAGAGACATGCATAAGCGAGTGAGAAAACAAAGTTATACATGAGTCATGTGCAGTGATGCAGAGGAAAAATGAATGTATATAAGGTTTCAATATAAGAACTTCAAGTCTTCAAAAAGATATTCCCGACAAAATATAGCTTCTTTAAAAGAAACTATGAATTAAAATGTTGAAATATAGGTAGTGAAACGAATGCGTCAAACAATTTCAATAAGATAAATCTTGAAGCCAAACAAAAACCAAAATAACTTATATCCAACGGCATGATGCTTAGCATTTCATAAGAATGCACCTGAGTGTAGACCATGTTTATTTCTACTATCACATATCTACAGATGGGGATTCTTCATTTCATTGTTGCGTTTAGATACATGATTCTTTGGCGGATTATAGTTCGAAATTCTAATACAATCAAAATTCATGTTGGTCAATGAATGGACATTCCTGACTTTATTGGGAGACTAAGAGCGGGATAAAGAAGTGAAAATACAGCAAAAGAAGTACAGTTTCAGGACAGACAATCAGGGAACACAACGTATAATCCATAAAATGACAAGGTTGTCTTCTTCGAAATTTTACCATAATTCAGACTTTCGACCTATAATCGACTAAAGAATCATGTATATTAAAAGGCAACAATGGAAACTTTACCATCACATAAACTGCAGAACCTAATACAGACCCAGCAAAATCAATTATCACAAAAATTGCCAGCAACGAACCTGAAACTGAGACTGGATCAAATAAGACCCTATCTTCTTCTTCGAGGGATCCCCAGGCTTACTCCCAGCTGACAGGGACAGAGATTTAATAATCGGCAAGAAAACACCGCCAGCCCTAGCGGTGGTGCTCGGCATTGCTGGGGCTATCAACGCCTCACTCAAAGTCAGCCCGTAAGACAGTCCCAAAGTACTCTTTCCAAGCCACTTCACGAAATAGGTGGCGATCCTATCACCCAAGCCCGTTTTCACAAAACCCCTAGCGAAGAAGAAGGAGATCACGATCAGCCAGATGACTTCGTTTGTGAAGGCCGAGAAGGCGGCGGAGAAGGTGAGGGTTTTCGTGAGGACGGCGGTGGTGAGGCCGAGGAAAGCCCACGCGCCGACGGGGAGCGGGCTGAGGACGAGGCCGGCGATGGTGGATAGGAAGATCGACAGCAGCTGCCACGCCTGCGGCGTGACCTCGGGGGGCCTGGGGACGAAGAACCGGACGGCGAGCCCAATCGCGAGCGAGATGATCAGAGGTATGGGCTTGGCGCCCTGCGGCGGCGGCGGGAGGGGCTTTGATTCGGTGGGGCCGGGTGCGCCGGAGGAAGCAGAGCGGACGATGAACTTCTTCGGGGATTTTCCGATTGGGTCGAGGATGGAGAGCTTGGTGGGATGGCGGAGGAGACAGAGTTTGTGGGAGGCGGAGCTAGCGGGATGGGATTTGAGGGGGCGGCGGAGATAGGCGGCGGAAATGGGGCGGAGACGAGGGAGAGAGAGGCGGGAGAAGGAGGTGGTGGAGGGTGGAGAGTGGAGGACGATGCTCTCCATGGCTGGGGAATAGAGAGAGAAGTGAGATGGAAAGTTGCACAGGTGAGTGTGTCTAGTGAGAGAGAGGGAGAGAGATGACGGAAAGCACGAAGCTCACACCACCACAGACATCACACTGATGAGAAAGTGGAGCAAACGCATACTAAATATGAATTTACTTTATTTTTTATTCACGTATTTTAGTTTTTTTTTTTTTTTTTAAGAAAACAATAGGAATTGGAAGGAAAAATTATAGATTTAGTCCTTTAAGTGGTACCAATTTGAGGTTTAGTCCTGTAAGTGGACAACTTTTATAAAACGTCCCGTAAGTGTAAAAAAAACTGAAATTTCGTCCTGTGATAGATGATTTTTGTTTTTTTTTTTTTCCTGAGTTGTCCTATGACCGGCTAAAGCGGGTAAATTTTTAGATGATTTTTGTTTTTTTTTCCTGAGTTGTCCTGTGACCGGCTAAAGCGGGTAAATTTTTAGATGATTTTTGTTTTTTTTGACGTGGCAGATTATGTTGATAATTATGATGATGTAAGGAGGGGGTTTCGAACCCGGGTTGAAAGGCAGCCTAATTGTCTCATGAGCCACTTGGTCTAACACAACTTTAGTTACATATTTGACTTCACTTTTATATGAATCAAAAACTTTTTATCCAAACACAATATATATATATATATATATATATATATATATATACTTAATTTTTTAATAAATTATATAATATATTTAATATATAAATAAAATAATGAATATATTAAATAACTAAATAAATATATTAAAGTCAATTGATATTAAATTAATATATATTAAATAAATAATTAATAAATATATTCATTTAATTAAATATTCACTAAATAAATATTAAATATATTTAATTAACTTTTATTTGTATACTAAATAAATATAATTAATAATTAATAAATAAATATATTTAATATACATATATATATATATATATATATTATATATTAATTAAATATTTACTAAATAATAAATATTTTATAAAATTTATTAAATACATATATTAATAAATAAATATACTGAATAATATTTATCTATTCATAAATATATATATTTATTATTATTATTTTTTTTCCGAAACGATAGAGATATTATAAATAAAACGCACAACTGTGCAAAGCAGCCCAAGGCTGAATATTACAACCCAGAACTAAAAACTGAGAGGACGAATCGGAAGACCGCCTAGAGCCTCGCTAGCCAAGCTAGAATAGAAAACACACAACACACAATACAATACACAAACACACCAACTACGATCGCTCCCCACAGGAGAATTGAAACGCCCCTCACAGGGGAATCAGAACTGGGGCCAACAACCCAAACCTAAAAAACAAGACCGAAAATAAAATAAACACAGACTCAAGACAAATCAACAACACAAACAAACAAAAATCCTAATAACATAAAACATAAACAACCCTTCCCCAGCGAAATGAGCAAGCTCGAACCAGCAGTGAACGATCAACACAAGACAAATCCAGGCCAAGAACCTGCTACCGAAACTGCAATCAAGCCTATACAATAGCAGAAACCTAACACCGAACCAGTCCCCGAATTGACCCATCGCAACCGAGAAGCCAAGTCCGCCCTACACCGATTCCATTCAAACTCATCTAACACCACTAGACGAGGCCAAATAGAACCTCCTCGCCGTCCAACACCACTAGACAAACGAGGAATTGTGAAGGGGAAATAACCGGACCTCTCCCCCAACTCCAGCAACTAAAGGAAGCCGCGGAGTCCGGAGACCCGCCCCACCTTATAGCTCGTACTCCACCCGATACCACCGCAAACATCCAACGACGAGCAGCCCGGGCCATATATTTATTATTTATTAATTAATAATATTTATTAATTAATTATAATTTTTAATTAATAAATATTTATTTAATCAATAAAAGTTTTTGGTAATAACATTATATTAATGAATGTATAATATATTTATTTATTAAATTATTTGATATATTTATATATGTTAAAATAAATATATTTAATATTGTAACAAATAAATATAATAAATATATTTAATATATATTTAATAATATAATAAATAAATATAATATATAAATATATAAAATATATTTAATAAATATAATTTTTTTTAATATATTTAGTATATAATTATTTATAAAATTATATATGTATATTAAATATATTTATTATATCGATTTATTATATTATTAATTATATTTATTTTGTATACAAATAAAAGATAATTAAATATATTAAATATTTATTTAGTAAATATTTAATTAAATGAAATTATTTATTAATTATTTATTTAATATATTAATTTAATATTAATTTTCTTTAATATATTATATAAAATATTATATCTAATATTTAAATAAATATATTAAATAAATTATTTAATATATTTATTTATTAAATTATTTGATATATTTATGTATGTTAAAATAAATATATTTATTAATACAATAAATAAATATAATAAAATATTTTTAATATATAATATAATAAATAAATATATTTAATAAATATAATTTATTATGTAATATATTTAACATACAAATATATTTATTATGTAATATATTTAATATAATAAATATAATTTATTATGTAATATATTTAAATATCTTATCTTATTTAAATAAATAAATTTATTTATATATTACATATATTATGTAATTTATTAAAAAATTAAGTATAATTATATATATATATATATATTGTTTTTGGATAAAACATTTTGATTGATATAAAAATGAAGTCAAATATATAACTAAAATTTTGTTAGGTCAAGTGGCTAGTGTCATCATTTGAGTGCCTTGCACCCCGGGTTCGAATCCCCATCTCTACATATTTTTTGCAATTATCCACATATCTACCACGTCAGCATTATAAATTATAAAAAAAAAAAAAAATCTAAAAATTCCACGTAGGCTAGCAGGTAAAATTTACCTGTTTTAGCCGGTGACAGGACTAAATGTCAGGTTTTTTTGTACTTACGGGACGTTCTATAAAAATTGCCCACTTAGAGGACCAAACCTAAAATTGGTGTCATTTACAGGACGAAATCTCCAATTTTTCTGGAATTGCAACTAAAAATCGGCCACAAATCAAACTTTTGAATTCCCTTTTCAACCCCATTCAAAAAAATCAAAATATCTATGGTTTTGGGCCTCATCAAAGATATCAAAATAACTTATAGGCCGCTAATCAAACTATGCATCATTAGAATGTTCGAACGTATTAAAGACGAGCGCACTTACAAAAATGTTCTTATCTTTCACGATTCTGATTTATTTTGTAATTATATTATTATTTAAATTCACACGTTTATATTTTTTTTACTTCATTCTTTTCATAATTATTGAATTGAATATGTACTTTATTAGGGAGGACGAGTTACTGGCATCATCCCCCATTCAATATTCCATTTCATCGACGATTTTGAAAAAGGCTGCGTTTATGTTTTTAAAAATTACCAAGTCAAAAGCAATGTTGGAGTCTACAAATCGACGATTTGCACTTGGAGGCTCATTCTTCACGGCCAAACAAAGTTTCACAAGTAAAGGGCCGATTTTCTTATTCGTCGCTTCGATTTTAGGAACTTCACAATATTCATGGATGTTGTATATAAGAAAATGTTCAATAATATATAATTATTTGTTATCGATGACTAGTTGTAATTATTTGTTATCTCCCCTGGTAAGTATGGCTCCATTTGCGAATCAGATGCTCCGCGATTGGGGTTCGTTCGATTGGCGGCAGAAGTGGCTTCGTTTGGCGGCGGCGGCCTCCAGGTGCAGCGTCTTGCAGGTGGATCTTGTCTCATCTCGACCGCTGGTGGGAGCTGCTCCGTGAAGGTTTGTCCGTTTCGATTTCGCTATTTCCTTTGTTGATTGGGCTGTGCTTCTCCGGCGAGCTTTCTTGCGGGTGGGGCTGTGATTCTGCTCGTCGGAGCTTTGAATTTGTATGGAGTGGTGCTCGTACTGAGGAGGGGCCGGGGCTCCGGTTACGGCAGCTTGGCTGTCGCGGTGGCTGGGGTTGAGGGGGCGATTGACCTTTACGCGAGTCTGTCTGCCTAGTGGTGTTAGGCGGCGGGGGACCAGGTTCTTTCGAGCTCGTCGAGTTCGGGTGGGGCTGGGTGAGGGTCGGTCGTGGCTCTTTCGGTTGACGATGGGTCGATTCGGGGCTCAATTTCTTCTACTGTATACGTAGTATGCAATTTCAGTAGCGGATTCTCGGGCTGGGATCTTTCTTGTGTCGATCGTCCACTGTTGGTTGGGATTTGTTTGTTCGACAGGGGAGGGCTCCATTGATTTTGTTTCTTTAGATTGTTTCTTGTTTTTATGCTCGTGTTTTGTGTCTAGGTTCGTGTTTTTTGTTTGGGCTGTTTGGCCTCTGTGCGCCAGAGTGTCACATTTATTATCCTGTTGGGATCCGACACTCAGGTATTACCCTGTTGGGGTCCTTTTAATTATTTTAGTTTTAGTTTGTGTTTGGTAGTTGTGTATTTGGTTCGTTTTAGTTGCGAGTGTTTTTATTCTAGCGTTGCAATCCGGGATTCTAAGCGGTCTTCTGACCCGTCCTCCCACTTTTTCAGTTGTTGGCTGTTGTGTATCCAGTCGTTGGCTACTGTGTATTCGCACATTTGTGCATTTTGATTTATAATATTATTTATCGTTTCAGAAAAAAAAACACATAGATAATAAAGCCTTCGTGCATCGCACGGGTGGTTACTAGTAATAATTAAAGAGTTAGTTATATATACTAGTGAGTAGGGCTGCAAACAAGTCGAGCATTAACAATATCGAGCATGATTGATTCATTTTTTTAGCTGCTCGAGCTCGACTCGATAAAAAAAATACGATAGTTCGAGCTCGGCTCGAATTCAAAATGCCCGAGCTCGACTCGAGTTTGGTTCAAAAAATTTCAAGCAACTTTGTAAAATTACCATTAAGTACATATAGTAATACTAGTGTATATCCCGTGCGATGCACGGAAGAGCTCATATCTTAAATCTT